GTAGGAATGATCGACTCATGGTCCTGACAAAGTGTTGTTATTTTTCGGGTCGATCAGAAATCCAATATGGCCGACACGGCCGACATTTTGAAAAACTATTTCAAACTTAAAGTCAAGTTCTGCTGGGCCAATTGAACTGAAACTTTGTAGGAATGATCGACTCATGGTCCTGACAAAGTGTTGTTATTTTTCGGGTCGATCAGAAATCCAATATGGCCGACACGGCCACCATTTTGAAAAAACTATTCCAAACTTAAAAACAAGTTCTAATAGTTATACTATAGTTATATAATACGTTATACTTAACTATTTTGTACTCAAATTGGTACATATTTCAACAACAAAAATAAATACTATAGGACTCAGTTGACCGTTTAGGCCCATGGGCCTTTTGTTAAAATACGTTATGTAATTTAGTGGACGCGTGAGAGAAGGGCATAATATTCTTGATACATTGTTTTTTATTCTCCGAAACTGTGGATTTTTAGCTCTGCTTATAGAATGGTCCAAGTGTGTTCGTTTATCGTGGAAAATTTCTGCGCCACACGTACCGTTTCAACCAGGATACGCGAATGTAGCCTTTTTGTTACCTCTGTTACCCCTGTGTGTCTCTGTATTATACAATTCCTGTGTTACTTTATGTTACCTCTGTTACCCCTGTGTGCCTCTGTATTATACAATTCCTGTACCTATCTCTTACCTGTTTATGTTACTCCTGTGTTAGTCCTATGTTACCTCTACATTACTCCTGTGTTAGTCCTATGGATTACTGTGATGTGCCTATCTCTTACCTGTTTATGTTACTCCTGTGTTTGTCCTATGGATTACTCTGATGTACCTCCTTCCCACCTGTTTATGTTACTCCTGTGTTAGTCCTATGTTACCTCTACATTACTCCTGTGTTAGTCCTATGGATTACTCTGATGTGCCTATCTCTTACCTGTTTATGTTACTCCTGTGTTAGTCCTATGTTACCTCTACATTACTCCTGTGTTAGTCCTATGGATTACTCTGATGTACCTATCTCTTACCTTTTTATGTTACTCCTGTGTTAGTCCTATGGATTACTCTGATGTAACTCCTTCCCACCTGTTTATGTTAATTCTGTGTTAGTCCTATGGATTACTCTGATGTACCTATCTCTTATCTGTTTATGTTACTCCTGTGTTAGTCCTATGGGTTACTCTGATGTACCTCCTTCCCACCTGTTTATGTTACTCCTGTGTTAGTCCTATAGGTTACTCTGATGTACCTCCTTCTTACCTGTTTATGTTACTCCTGTGTTAGTCCTATGGGTTACTCTGATGTACCTCCTTCCCACCTGTTTATGTTACTCCTATGTTACCTCTACATTACCTCAATGTTAATGTGTTGCTTTTGTGTTACAGACAACTACGTCTACCCCTGGAGATCCAGTTGTTGTCAAGGGAAGAAGCTTATAGTCTTGTTGAGCAGCAGGAATTGGCAAAGGAGCCACAAAAGGGCTGTTTACGTACAAATAGGTATGTCATGTTACACACAGATACACCATGTCACACATCTGTATCAAGTCAAACAGGTAAGCATGTTACACACAGGTACACCATGTCACACATCTATATCAAGTCAAACAGGTAAGCAGGTTACACACAGGTATTTCATGTCAAATTCAGATGAAACAGTTGTATTATGAATCATATTCTTTAAAGTATAANTAGACTCAGGTGACCGTTAAGGCCCATGGGCCTCTTGTTGATTTATCTGTGGCTAGTTTGTCTTAAGATAATACATTAGTACTTCTACTTGATACAGGATAACCGTGTCAGATCAGCCACAGGACGACCAGAAGTACATGTTACCTCCGCCCTCCACCTCTGCTGTCCAGCTGTGTGTCACTGAGGTAAGTTACCCCCACCCTCCACCTCTGCTGTCCAGCTGTGTGTCACTGAGGTAACATCATTTGGGATCAACTTTTCATTTAGTCTTTGTTTTATTATTGTTTTTATTCACCATTTAAACCAAAATGACATGCTTATGAAGCCCTTACCCTAAATGTTGTCTATTCTACAGGTCTGTACACATGTATAGGAATAATATCTCGGTTATCTATCCAACAATTTACACATAACTATAAAACCCTCAGAAACATTTAAGTAAATTAAAGACCCACTTTATTGGCCCGATGTTAGAAGCTCTAGTAGTCCGTGTCTGCGGCCACCTTAAAACACCCAGTGCTGTGTATGGATAGTTTTTAGCCCACCTTCCCCTGATTGGACCCTAGGTCACAATACAAAACTGGTTGATATTTCTGCCCTATGACTGTATATATGGTATATACAATGTCTGGGCATGAAGAGACTATAGGAATTGGCCTCAGGGTCTGACCCAACCCTTAGGGATTAGTCCTTAGAAATGATCGGAACTTCCATGCTAAAACAGTGTTATACTCCATAAAAAAAACTTTCTTTTTTCATTATTTATATTCCTGCTTGCTGTAAATGTTATATGTGTTGTTAAATGTTGTGGTTTGATGTTAGCATACTGTTAGATAGGGTAGAGAATCTTTAGCAGACATGCCAGGAAACTCCTTCTTCTACTGAAGTAGATGTATATGCCAGGAAACTCCTTCTTCTACTGAAGTAGATGTATATAGATATGCATGAACTGAGGAGGTGGGCTTACTCAGCCAAAAACAACATGACACCAACTTAACTGTATGTGCAAGTAGAATTTTGATTTACTGAAATAAAACCCTTTTAAGGGCATGCACACCAATTAAAAAAAACAAAGTAGATAGCCTCATTAATTCTGCATAAATACCTTGTATACATGTATCAAACTAGCAATCACACTTAGCCAGACACTTGTCAAAGTGTATGGGCACACTCTGCTGAAGGTCAAAAGTCAGACTGCTGTATCTCAACATTCAAATGACTCTCTTACCTAACAGATGAAATACTTCACAATACTGCTTTATCTCTTGTCAACTTCCACACAATCTGTAACCAGGTATTCCTCATATATCTGACGTAATTGTCACACCTGTATGCCAATGGTATAATCCTTCTGCTCCCGTTTGCAGGAAGTGGAAAAAGATTTTGAAAATATTGCTTTTTCTTGTGTTCTCACAGGTTAAGGAATGTGGGCACTTTTGGGCACAGTACTCTGAGAGAGAGAACTATAATGCTCTAGTGAGAATCCACACCTGCCTCAACCAGGGGAGATCACTTATGGTAAGTTTGGTAAGGAAAGATAAATGTTTCATGAGGAAAGATTGTTATTTGACATGGAGAGGTCACAAACAAAAGTGTTGACAAGGGATATCACTCAAAGTAGCTTTGATTAGAAGAAAGCTCCTTTATTTCATAATGTGAGGACATTTTATAAGAATCCTTATTTGCTTTATAAACACATTGCAGTACTGAGTTGGGAGTTAATTATATCTTCCATGGTGACTACTTTTGATGTTCCAGCCACTTGTGGGCCGTATCATGGTGGGGAAGCTGTGTGCCGCACCGTTTGAGGATGAAGCAAGAGAATACTACAGGGCCAGAGTAGATGGCATCATTCGTACACAGCTGCCTCGCACCAACCAGTTTAGGGAGTCACTTGAGGTACAATATTGTACACATGCTTCTGATACAGATAAGGCTTTCAGCTGATTTATTTTCACCTAAGTATTTGTTTGTATTGATGATCTGTCATGTTTAAAAGAAATTGTTTTATCAGAAGTTGTTTTTTGTTTATTAGTCCCCTACCGGGAAACCGGGGGATCTATAGTTTTCCCCTCCGTCTGTCCGTACGTCCGTCCGTCTGTCCGTCTGTCCAAAGAGGTTTGTCAGCACTCTTGCGCCTTCATTCTTTCCTAGTTTTTAATCAAACTTCACACTGTCATAAAGAATTAAAAAATCTTCGCCAAGTTTGAGTTGGACAGGTTCGAGTTTCAAGGTCAACGGATCAAGGTCAAGGTCATTATGACTATAAATAGAAAATTTTATTTAACATTCTTCCTTGCCTGTTTATCAAACTTCACACACTTGTAAAGACCCCTTTACAATCAACAAATAAGATTTCTTAGTATTTTTATTCCCTTACCGGTGAAACTGGGGGGGGGTGGCAGGGAGGGAGAAGAAAACAAGAATACCTAAAGTTTTCCTCGCTGTCTGTCCGAAGAAGTTTGTCAGCACTCTAGTGTCTTTATTCTTTCATGGATTTTGATGAAACTTTACACACATGTAAAGAATTAAAATATCTTCAACAAGTTCGAGTTTCAAGGTCAACGGATCAAGGTCAAGGTCATTATGACTATAAATAGAAAAACTTTGTCAGTACTCTAGCGTCTTCATTCTTTTTTGGTTTTTAATCAAACATTACACACTCATAAAGAATTAAAAAATCTTCGACAAGTTTGAGTTGGACAGGTTCGAGTTTCAAGGTCAACGGATCAAGGTCAAGGTCTTTATTACTATAAATAGCAAAACTTTGTCAGTACTCTAGCGTCTTCATTCTTTTTTGGTTTTTAATCAAACTTCACACACTTGTAAAGACCCCTTTACAATCAACAAATAAGATTTCTTAGTATTTTTATTCCCTTACCGGTGAAACTGGGGGGGGGTGGCAGGGAGGGAGAAGAAAACAAGAATACCTAAAGTTTTCCTCGCTGTCTGTCCGAAGAAGTTTGTCAGCACTCTAGAGCCTTCATCCTTTCATGGATTTTAGTCAAACTTCACATTATTGTAAAGAATTTAAATATCTTGGACAATTTCAAGGTAATCGGGGCAAGACAAGGTCACTATTACTATTTTAGAAAATCTTTGTCAGCACTCTAGCGTCTTCATTCTTTTTTGGTTTTTAATCAAACTTCACATTATTGTAAAAAATTTCAATATATGGGACAAGTTCAAGGTTCAAGGTCCTCGGATCTAGGTTGAGGTCACTGTTGCATCTTGATAGATTGCGGGGGCGGGTAGGGGACATGTATTGCTTCAGCAATACTCAGTATGCTTGTTATATTAGATTGTATGGTTAAATGTGTATGTGTGGTCTGTCTCCCTGTCAGGTGTTCTTTGTCGACTACGGTAACATGGCTGTGGTCGCCCGTGAGGATGTCCGAGAGCTGCCCGAGCCCATTTCAGAAGTGCCATTCCAGGTGAGTGGAGAACAGGCTTGATTCTAATGTAAAAGTAGAAACAAGCCACCTTCTCTGATAGGCATTAATGTTACAGACACAAACTGTCTCACATCTTTATTATGTAATTAGTGACTTATTATTTTTCAATATTGATGTAAGTTCTAGTATATAAATGGATTTTAAAACTTTTAAAAATGTTTGTTTATGATTACTTCTAACCAGGTGACATAAGTTTGATAATTAGATATGCACAATTTAAAAGCATTGCTTGTGTAATTGTTTCTCCTGATACAGTGTGTTGATTGCTACCTCAGTGGGGTTCGACCATCAGTTGTCAAGTGTCCAGATGGGCGGTGGACAGAACAGGCAAACAACACATTCCGCAGTATGGTGATGAACAAGGAACTGTTTGGGAAGGTGAGGCGACCGATTTGGGTGTTTACATGGGTAGATTTACTCTAGTGTGAGGAGTGCTTCATGTTATGATATATGGACAGATTTACTCTGCTGTGAGGGATAGTATACGTAAAGTTGTTTGGCATTTATATTAGACAGGTATACTCTGGTATCCGGGATAATTTATGTAAAGTTGTTAAACGTTTTACCTGGACAGGTACAGTGTGGTGGCAGGGGTGATTCATGTAAAGTTGTGTGACTTTTGAATTGGACAGGTATACTCTGTGGTGCGAGGCGTAGTGCGAATGGAGCTGATAGAGGTGTTGAGAAATGGCCGCCAGATCTGTTTTAATCATGAACTCATTTCCCTGGAGTTTGCAGACGCTGCTGAAGAAAGCTTCCTTTCAAAGGTAAAAAACCCATCAGCCATTCATTTTAACCTCAAATCCTAGTATAGACTTAGCCCTTTCACCAGATCAATGCATAGTAGAGTTTATTAAAGTTACATTGGGGTAAAAGGGGTTAATTAGGTAATTTTTACTGCAGTGTTTTTTTCAAGTTTTGAAATGTTTGTTTATAGAGTATTAATATATACATGGATCTCATAAACGTGACTCATTTACAATGTTATTCTAAATAGACATACTTGGTTCTGTTAAAACATCTCTTAATCACAGAAGCAGGACTAATGTTAGATCAATAATACCTGTATTATTAGATGTTGAGATTGGTGAAGTAACGGTAAACTTCTGATTTCTGTAACACCTCTTTCGTCAGGTATTGCTGTATATATAAGAACCTTCTTATCAGCTTAGCAGTAATAAACAAAATTAGTTATACAATGAGAATTGATACATTATATCAAAGTCATCAGTGTAGACCAAGAATAAGAGTGATTTATTTGTTACCAAGCAAAACCATGATCAGCGAGTGCTGGAGGAGACAACGGGGCAACTTGGTCAAACAGGACCCCAGGGACAGTCCAACAAGCAACAGACCAGCTGGCTTAACCTCGCTCTCAAACCAAGTACTAGTATGACCTTCGGAGAGAGTCGCAGGGGGGGCAAGGTAATTCCCTACCACCTGAGAGACACACACAGTACTTAAATTGACTGTCTGCTTCAACAGGGACAAAAATATGATTTTTGAACTCGAGGACTGACTCTGGATATAGTGTCGGTGACAACAGTGTCAGAAACAGGGTAAAAATTTAATGTCGTTGACAGCTGGGATAAATAACCTGGATTAAGTTTATTCCAGGGCGATCTACCACTTACTATATTATTAGTAACCTGAATCACAGGTGTGAAAGGTTTTCAAGGTGTTCTGTATATTTGTACAGTTCTTTCACAAATTCCATTGTCTATATAGTTATATAATGTCCATTAGTTTTTAAAAGTGAACATGTTTAGGACTCTTACATTTTAAACAAGTATTATGTAGGTAATTTAGAAAGTATGAAAATGCATAAATAGGAATGCATAACAAATTTTGAATCTTGTGTGCATAACAATCTTATTTTGCCAAACAGGTGAATTTGAGAGGTCCAAACAATCCCTATGAGATGGCTTTCACCAGTATGACCAATGCAGGGTCATGCAGGTAAGTACCTTTCACTTACCAACTCGGGTAACTACTCCCACTGTTCATAATATTTCTAACTGTTGAATGTGACAACCATTATTAATCATACTTTCTCTTATCAAAGTTATTATCAAAAATGTTGAAGAATATCAAAATAATTTCTAAAACAACCCGAACCCCTGACGCTGTCAAAATCTCTCTGTCTGGAAAGCTAATGTCACTCTTTCAAATCCAAAATCCCAGTCTGCTTTAAGTGAGATTACGGACTAGATGATAAAGGAGTAGTAGATGTCAAGTGACGTGACAATTTAAAGAAGGCAAAGAATGAAATTTGAATCTTCTGTAAATTATTTTATGTCTTGATCTGATTGAAAGATGTGCGAAGATTGAGCCAGGTAGCATCAACTGTGTTGCCATTGATGATGAACCCCACGACCCTCATTCAAGACTGATGATTGCTGCATTTGTTGGACTGAACCCGGGAGGGTCGACCATGATGGCCCGAGACACCACAGTCATGCCTCTGATACCTGGACTACCTTCCATCATCTCACTGCTGTTTGCACCTATCACAGAGTTCAGGTAGATTTTCATTTCATAGAACGTTATCCTCTAGTCACAAAGCAGGATATAGTGTTTATGCTCGTTCTGGGAAAGTGAAAGTAATTTTTACTTCTTTATTCCCTCCCCCAATTCATGATTTATAAAACTTATAACATAAATCTCTTACGTTAATGTAACAAATACGATATCAGTTAGTCCCTCATTTCCTGGCTTCTTAATTAGAATTTATTCAGTCTATTTGGTTAAAGTGTCCTAATAAATGGAAGCTCAATAACATGTAGTACTCTTTTTTATCAAGTAACAAATTAACTATGGCATTTTTTACAAGCATAAATTCCCTTGCAGCTATTGATTGGTGTGTCTCAAATGTGATACTTATATCACACACCTGTTCTGGTGTCATTCAAGATCAAGGTGACAAAGTTTTAGGATGTGTTTTGGGGCTGATTGTAGTTTTTATCAATACAGCTTTATGAGTCTCAATTATCAAGGTAAATGATTATTAACACATAATGCTTCCTGATCCTATTTGTTTTCCCCAATATTCACACCAGGACTGACCCTGGACTGACTCGTCTGACTGGGGCCATTTGTGGACTGGGACCAGCTCTGACCATGGAGTATTCTTGTTTCCCTGACCACGATATTGAGGTCATCTTTGATACCAAGATAGACTTAGAGGACATATACAAGGTAATCAGTCTCTGTGAGAAATCTTCCTACTAACTTTCCTTAAACTCACCTAGAGTTGCTAAAGTACTGAATATTATTGTTTATAGTGACACAGTATACTTGTGTAAAAAAGTATGCAAACTAATAGCTACAAGTTAGGAGAAGCTGCCAAAAGCTTGTTTAACTAAGTAATGGATCCTGAGAAGATATCTGTTCTTTCTAATTGTTCAAGAACAGGATAAAATAAGCCATCTTTTCTCAATGTAATATGACTATTTCTAATTCCAGCAACATCCATCAATGTCCTAGTTGTTACTGCCTTCCGTTAAGGTTTTCCCCTTACACAAGATTTATGGTCTGGAGTACATCTTCTTGATAGATTTCACTATCAAGTTCATCTGGATTTGGTACCAACATAATATTTAATTCTTTATCACATGATATGTACACTTACATTGTGTGACACAAACTCAAACTTTGTTACTTTCAGATCAACGGTGTACGAATGGCAATCAACATTGCTATTGGTAGTCAGGAGAAAGTGATGGGCTGGGGTCCTGATGCTGTCTATAAGATCCAGGATTCGGCTAGAACTAAAGTCATGGAGTAAGTTTTGACTAGGGTGGTCAATACACTAAGGTCATGGAGTAAGTTTTGACTGGGGTGTTCAGTACACTTAGGTCATGGAGTAAGTTGTGACTGGGGTGGGCAATACACTACGGTCTTGGAGTAAGTTTTGACTGGGGTGGTCAGTACCATACACTAAGGGCATGGAGTAAGTTTTGACTGGGGTGGGCAATACATTAAGGTTATTGAGTAAGTTTTGACTGGGGTGTTCAGTACAGTTAGGTCATGGAGTAAGTTTTGACTGGGGTGGTCAATACATTAAGGTTATTGAGTAAGTTTTGACTGGGGTGTTCAGTACAGTTAGGTCATGGAGTAAGTTTTGACTGGGGTGGTCAATACATTAAGGTTATTGAGTAAGTTTTGACTGGGGTGTTCAGTACACTTAGGTCATGGAGTAAGTTTTGACTGGGGGGGTCAGTACCATACACTAAGGTCATGGAGTAAGTTTTGACTGGGGAGGTCAATACACTAAGGTCATTGAGTAAGTTTTGACTGGGGTGTTCAGTACCATACACTTAGGTCATTGAGTAAGTTTTGACTGGGGTGGTCAGAACACTTAGGTCATGGAGTAAGTTTTGACTGGGGTTGTCAGTACCATACACTTAGGTCATTGAGTAAGTTTTGACTGGGGTGGTCAGTACAGTACCAACATAATATTTAATTCTTTATCACATGATATGTACACTTACATTGTGTGACACAAACTCAAACTTTGTTACTTTCAGATCAACGGAGTACGAATGGCAATCAACATTGCTATTGGTAGTCAGTAGAAAGTGATGGGCTGGGGTCCTGATGCTGTCTATAAGATCCAGGATTCGGCTAGAACTAAAGTCATGGAGTAAGTTTTGACTAGGGTGGTCAGTACACTAAGGTCATTGAGTAAGTTTTGACTGGTGTGGTCAGTACCATACACTTAGGGCATTAAGTAAGTTTTGACTGGGGTGGTCAGTACACTTAGGTCATACAGTAAGTTTTGACTGGGGTGGTCAGTACACTTAGGTCATGGAGTAAGTTGTGACTGGGGTGGTCAGTACACTAAGGTCATGGAGTAAGTTTTGACTAGGATGGTCAATACACTAAGGTCATTGAGTAAGTTTTGACTGGGGTGTTCAGTACACTTAGATCATGGAGTAAGTTGTGACTGGGGTGGTCAATACACTACGGTCATGGAGTAAGTTTTGACTAAGGTTGTCAATACACTAAGGTAATTGGGTAAGTTTTGACTGGGGTGGTCAGTACACTAAGGTCATTGAGTAAGTTTTGACTGGGGTGTTCAGTACACTTAGATCATGGAGTAAGTTGTGACTGGGGTGGTCAATACACTACGGTCTTGGAGTAAGTTTTGACTAAGGTTGTCAATACACTAAGGTAATTGGGTAAGTTTTGACTGGGGTGGTCAGTACACTAAGTTCATGGAGTAAGTTTTGACTGGGGTGATCAATACACTAAGGTCATAGAGTAAGTTTTGACTGGGGTGGTCAGTACCATACACTAAGGGCATGGAGTAAGTTTTGACTGGGGTGGGCAATACATTAAGGTTATTGAGTAAGTTTTGACTGGGGTGTTCAGTACCATACACTTAGGTCATTGAGTAAGTTTTGACTGGGGTGGTCAGAACACTTAGGTCATGGAGTAAGTTTTGACTGGGGTGGTCAATACATTAAGGTCATTGAGTAAGTTTTGACTGGGGTGTTCAGTACAGTTAGGTCATGGAGTAAGTTTTGACTGGGGTGGTCAGTCCACTAAGGTCATTGAGTAAGTTTTGACTAGGGTGGTCAGTACACTAAGGTCATTGAGTAAGTTTTGACTGGTGTGTTCAGTACACTTAGGTCATGGAGTAAGTTGTGACTGGGGTGGTCAATACACTACGGTCTTGGAGTAAGTTTTGACTAGGGTGGTCAATACAATACGGTCATGGAGTAAGTTTTGACTAGGGTGATCAATACACTAAGGTAATTGGGTAAGTTTTGACTGGGGTGGTCAGTACACTAAGTTCATGGAGTAAGTTTTGACTGGGGTGATCAATACACTAAGGTCATAGAGCAAGTTTTGACTGGGGTGGTCAGTACCATACACTTAGGTCATTGAGTAAGTTTTGACTGGGGTGGTCAGTACACTAAGGTCATGGAGTAAGTTTTGACTGGGGTGGTCAGTACACTAAGGTCATTGAGTAAGTTTTGACTGGGGTGTTCAGTACACTTAGGTCATGGAGTAAGTTGTGACTGGGGTGGTCAATACACTACGGTCTTGGAGTAAGTTTTGACTAGGGTGGTCAATACACTAAGGTCATGGAGTAAGTTTTGACTGACGTTTATACACTACGGTCATGGAGTAAGTTTTGACCGGGGTGGTCAGTACCATACACTAAAGTCATAGAGAAAATCTTGTCTGGGGAGTCAGTCACAGTATAAACATGTTTGAACAAACTGATTGATAGGTAGAGTTGACCTTCTGATGACCTTCATATAACCCTGATGTTTACAGGGTTCTACAAAAGAGAAGGGAGACAGTACAGCCGAGGAGTGCTGAGAGGCCGTACAAATGGAACCAGGTATTACTCCATACACTGTGATGTATTATAACTTTGAAATGCTGCCTAAAATAACTTGTATCTCCCTTATACCCAGACAGTAAACAATGATATACCTTGTGTTGTTAATATGACTTCCATCCTCACCAGAAACCCGCCTTAGGAATTGTAGGTAATAATGTAAATCACTCATATTAATTACTTCTGATATCTTACCTGGCAGAATCTGCCGCAGTTAGTGGCAGAAATTTAGATCACAACAGGCATGATTAACCAATCCCAGCATACTATGTATACATGCAGCTTGTTAGTATTATTCAATAGGCTGTAATAAATTGTGATTTGCACCTGATGGAAAGTTTGAACCACCTGTCATGTTTTTAGCTAGTAAACCTACTGATCACTCTGAGATTTGAGAGCTCTACCATCCTGCCAGTGTAACATCAATTAGCTTACACGACATCTCAGTTGTATGTGCTGTTCAACACTTAAAAATGAAAAAGACATATCTAGTGTGAGATAGTGCTTGTCAACTTGAAATTTTCTTTTCATAATAAAATCATGAAACCACTGATGAACAAGTCTCTAATGAGTTAACCAATAATTAATTTCTGGTTCATTAATATCATTGTGATTATACAAGATGTACAATCAAATAATTGCTGCAGTACTTTATATTGAAACCTAATTGTTTCAGCTGAAACCTGAGGACATCCTCCACCATAGATTAGAGAATACAGACGCAGACAACCCCGTGCTACTCAACCTACACTCGGCGGTGGCTCTGATAGATGAGGAGGTAGACCAGATAAGGCTCAACTCTTCTGCCCATCATAAGGAGCGCCTTAAGCAGCACGTCAAATTTCTGAAGAAAGCTGCTAAAGAGTAAGTTGTCTAAGATTGTTGACTTTTTTTCTCTTTGACAATTTATAATGAAGGAGCTGAATCAACAGGCAAATTGCATTCATATAAATATAATAAACAATCATTTGAAGTTAAAGTAAGCGTATCAGAATAAACATTGTTTATACTCTATGTTAACATACCGGTTTACCATATGTAGTAATCATAATGCTGTTTTTAGAGTTCATGACCCTAACTTTAATTAAATCCAACACGTCGGGTATATTTCCAGTTTATATCGACGAGACCCTATTACATGTGAGCTGTGTAATATGACGGCTAACACCCCCCAGCTACTGGCATCCCACCTTGACATGCGCAAACACAGGGAGAGGGAGGAAGCTCTTGAAGATGACGAGGACTGAGTGATAATCTCAAAGAGAAGAGAGGTGTAAAGCACTGTAGGTGATAACAGCACGGAGACAGGGAATAACCCTGGATAATGGTTACAACTCTACAACGAAAGACAGGGATAACAATATAGTGATAATGGTGACAAAATGGATAACGAGAATTTGGCAGGACTGGAAACTAGACACTTCTGTGATTACGCCAGTGGAACATGAATACAAATGATTTATCAGAAATCCAGTCTGTCACCTGCCACATATAAGCAATGTGATCTAGAAACCAGCTGTGGTGCTGTATGTTTGATACAAGTTGATTTCGTTTCAGATGTTCAGAACTACAAGAGCTAAGCTCTAGCTATCTTGAGTACATCTACACAGGAATAGATTAAGCTCAACGATTGTAGAACTTCTACCCAGATTTAACTTATGCTGACTTTGATTTCAAAATATCTTTAAGAAAAAGGCTGATGTTGTTTCCTGCCTTGTGTTTTGCTATCAACATATTTACTTTTGATATTTTATGATTTACATTTTGCATAACCATTTAGTATTGTTAATAGTAGAAGGTGTTCCTAGCTTTAGATTGACTCAGGGAAAATGTCCTGTCTGTGAGGATTACTGTTTGGGAGGGAAAATGTCCTGTCTGTGAGGAGTACTGTTTGGGAAAGCAATTCAATGTGAGAAATGATGGGAAAGACTATGATTTCAATTTGCTCTGATATGTAATTGGAATTTAGAGTAAAGTAAAAATCTCATTAAAATCCCTATTTGAGTGCTACTGGCTCTGTGACAGCATATTCTTTGGCAAGTGTTTCAGTACTGTTAAACTATGGGTAGGAACAAACCAATCTACACTGATAAAGCCATAATGTTTTTGTTTGTTGCAGTTTTGATAGTTCCTGTTTAGTGCTACATGTTACATATATGTAATAAAGAATGGTGATGTCTGATGCAGGTCATTGAAAAAGGCGTAGATGTGGACTAGTGAGAGAGCAGTGTTTGTTGATGTGTACATAGAGAGGGGTGTAGATGTTGACTAGTGAGAGAGCAGTGTTTGTTGATGTGTACATTGAGAGGGGTGTAGATGTGGACTAGTGTGAGAGCAGTGTTTGTTGATGTGTACATAGAGAGGGGTGTAGATGTGGACTAGTGTGAGAGCAGTGTTTGTTGATGTGTACATAGAGAGGGGTGTAGATGTGGACTAGTGTGAGAGCAGTGTTTGTTGATGTGTAGGTTGAGAGGGGTATAGATGTGGACTAGTGAGAGAGCAGTGTTTGTTGATGTGTACATAGAGAGGGGTGTAGATGTGGGCTAGTGAGAGAGCAGTGTTTGTTGATGTGTACATTGAGAGGGGTGTAGATGTGGACTAGTGTGAGAGCAGTGTTTGTTGATGTGTACATAGAGAGGGGGGTAGATGTGGACTAGTGAGAGAGCAGTGTTTGTTGATGTGTACATAGAGAGGGGTGTAGATGTTGACTAGTGAGAGAGCAGTGTTTGTTGATGTGTACATAGAGAGGGGTGTAGATGTGGGCTAGTGAGAGAGCAGTGTTTGTTGATGTGTACATAGAGAGGGGTGTAGATGTGGACTAGTGTGAGAGCAGTGTTTGTTGATGTGTACATAGAGAGGGGTGTAGATGTGGGCTAGTGAGAGAGCAGTGTTTGTTGATGTGTACATAGAGAGGGGTGTAGATGTTGACTAGTGAGAGAGCAGTGTTTGTTGATGTGTACATAGAGAGGGGTGTAGATGTGGACTAGTGTGAGAGCAGTGTTTGTTGATGTGTACATAGAGAGGGGTGTAGATGTGGGCTAGTGAGAGAGCAGTGTTTGTTGATGTGTACATAGAGAGGGGTGTAGATGTTGACTAGTGAGAGAGCAGTGTTTGTTGATGTGTACATAGAGAGGGGTGTAGATGTGGGCTAGTGAGAGAGCAGTGTTTGTTGATGTGTACATAGAGAGGGGTGTAGATGTGGACTAGTGTGAGAGCAGTGTTTGTTGATGTGTACATAGAGAGGGGTGTAGATGTGGGCTAGTGAGAGAGCAGTGTTTGTTGATGTGTACATAGAGAGGGGTGTAGATGTGGGCTAGTGAGAGAGCAGTGTTTGTTGATGTGTACATAGAGAGGGGTGTAGATGTGGACTAGTGAGAGAGCAGGGTTTGTTGATGTGTACATTGAGAGGGGTGTAGATGTGGACTAGTGAGAGAGCAGTGTTTGTTGATGTGTACAGTGAGAGGGGTGTAGATGTGGACTAGTGAGAGAGCAGGGTTTGTTGATGTGTACATTGAGAGGGGTGTAGATGTGGACTAGTGTGAGAGCAGTGTTTGTTGATGTGTACATAGAGAGGGGTGTAGATGTGGGCTAGTGAGAGAGCAGTGTTTGTTGATGTGTACATAGAGAGGGGTGTAGATGTTGACTAGTGAGAGAGCAGTGTTTGTTGATGTGTACATAGAGAGGGGTGTAGATGTGGGCTAGTGAGAGAGCAGTGTTTGTTGATGTGTACATAGAGAGGGGTGTAGATGTGGGCTAGTGAGAGAGCAGTGTTTGTTGATGTGTACATTGAGAGGGGTGTAGATGAGAGGAGGAAAATATGGACTAGAGAAAGTACAACTTGTTCATATGTATATTGATGGGGGCGTAGATGTGGACAAGAGTAAGCAATGTTTGTTGATATGTATATTGATGGGGGCGTAGATGTGGACAAGGGTAAGCAGTGTTTGTTGATATGTATATTGTATATTGGGGAGTGTAGATGTGGGTGAGAGAGTAGGGTTTGTTGATATGTATATTGGGGAGTGTAGATGTGGGTGAGAGAATAGGGTTCATTGTTAAAATAACTGTTATTGTCTGTTGATTCAGTTTCTTTTGACGAACCTGAAGTAAGGTGCAATTATGTTAAAACTTACAAAACTTCATTCTATCATTTATCATCATTTGTTGTTACATTTTATAATCATGGTCATGTTTATATAGAAAATAAAACTTGTTTTTTATCTTGAATTGTTCCATAGTTTTTTCCACATCTATTCATTTTGAGTCCAAGCTTATGTGATTGGCATACAATAATTTTACATTCTTCTTCAGTTTCACATCTCATTGTAGTTTGTATCTGATAATGGTTCAACCAGAAGATGAACTTAGTTTTTATGGAGTGGTAGTTTGTTTGAGGACAATAATGTAGTTTGGGAGGTATAAAGGGTTCATGTCCTGTCAGTCCATCTGTCCCTGAACCTTGTTGGCACAACTTCTCCTTAACCCTTTCACCCCTATGTAACGCTAGTAGACTCTACCATGCATTTATCTGGGTGAGTCCATTATGGTCTACAGTGGTGAAAGGGTTAACTGCTTGCGGGATAGTACATATTATGTAAATGTGCATGAAGAAAGGAATTTACGTTTTGACTATTTTTCAGGGAGTTATGACCCTTGAAAGTTCACAATTCCTCCTCAACTGTTTCTTGAATATTTCTGTAACTTGGCAACGGGGAAAGAACATCATATGTAGATGTGCATGAAGAGAGATTGGGGAATTATACCCCCTACAAACAAAGTTTGAATACATAGATAATTTCAAGTGTGTGTGTGTGTGTGTGTGTGTGTGTGTGGACATATCAAAATACTGCACTGTCACTAGTCATACAATCATACTGAACACATTTAACCTCTGGACCAGCACAAGTCTGTCATTAGTAATACAAAACATCTGAACCAACGACAGTTAAAACATAACCTGTCTGTCATTAGTAATACAAAACATCTGAACCAACAACAGTTAAAACTTAACCTGTCTGTCATTAGTAATACAAAACATCTGAACCAACAACAGTTAAAACTTAACCTGTCTGTCATTAGTAATACAAAACATCTGAACCAACAACAGTTAAAACTTAACCTGTCTGTCATTAGTAATACAAAACATCTGAACCAACAACAGTTAAAACTTAACCTGTCTGTCATTAGTAATACAAAACATCTGAACCAACAACAGTTAAACATAACCTGTCTGTCATTGGTAACACAAAACATCTGAACCAACAACAGTTAAAACTTAACCTGTCTGTCATTAGTAGTACAAAACATCTGAACCAACTACAGTTAAAACATAGCCAACCCCTAAACCGGCACCAGTCTACCATCAAACCAAGTTCACTTTTGTTTGATGCTGGTACATTGTGGTCGTGGGTTTGACATGCATCTTTTGGTTCTTACCGTCAAGGTCATTAATAGGGGTCAAGTAAACCTTACTAAGACAACAACTTTATCTTCTATTGGTTCTTACCGTCAAGGTCATTAATAGGGGTCAAGTAAACCTTACTAAGACAACAACTTTATCTTCTATTGGTTCTTACCGTCAAGGTCATTAATAGGGGTCAAGTAAACCTTACTAAGACAACAACTTTATCTTCTATTGGTTCTTACNGGGTCAAGTAAACCTTACTAAGACAATAACTTTATCTTCTATTGGTTCTTACCGTCAAGGTCATTGATAGGGGTCAAGTAAACCTTACTAAAACAACAACTTTATCTTCTATTGGTTCTTACCGTCAATGTCATTAATAGGGGTCAAGTAAACCTTACTAAGACAATAACTTTATCTTCTATTGGTTCTTACCGTCAAGGTCATTAAAAGGGTCAAGTAAACCTTACTAAGACAATAACTTTATCTTCTATTGGTTCTTACCGTCAAGGTCATTAATAGGGGTCAAGTAAACCTTACTAAGACAATAACTTTATCTTCTATTGGTTCTTACCGTCAAGGTCATTGATAGGGGTCAAGTAAACCTTACTAAAACAACAACTTTATCTTCTATTGGTTCTTACCGTCAAGGTCATTGATAGGGGTCACGTAAAGCTTACTAAGACAATACCTTTATCATCTGAAGGTATGATCGCCATCACTAATGACATCATCACTAGAGTTTGTTTGGTCTATACTTTATGGTTACTACCTCCTCAATCAATGTTATAATTGATAACTTCAATAAGATGGAAATGGTACAACGCAGGGCTGCTTGTTACGTACTAAACAACAACAAAAAACAACGTCTACACTCGTAGAACATCCAATGTCTCCAATATGTTGAACCATCTTAAATGGCGATCCCTTGCCGACAGACACAGATACACAAGCCTATGTATGATGTCACCAGGCAGTCAAGGCATGCCCATCACCAATCCTTCCAAATACGACACTGCAGAACCCAGGTCAGAAAACAATCCATAAACAATATCTGAGTGGAGTAAGATCCCACCAGATATCATATCCTCCTATTCTACTACTGAATCTTTTCAATCTGCTCTCCTGTCACTGTACCTTCAAAATTAAATCTATATACTAAATCTCTTTCTTCCTCATGACATTATCTTCAACTTGTTGAAGTTGGTCATTACCATTTAGAAGTTAGAATTAAGGAAAGTTCAAG